CAACAGGATGAGAGGTAACATTACCGGAATAACATAGACGTATGCAGTTTTCAATGCTCTATCAAACGATGATAAAATGTGTTTTCCAATGATTTGCCGTTTTGGTAAAATCTGGTTTTTCCAACTAAGGTTTTCTGGAAAACCTTACGAAATCCGGTTTTGACCTGAAAACACTGGTTTGAAGCGGATTTCTTTTCTGTACCGGAAAGCTGGGACATTTTTGAGTATATCTAGGGGCTTTTGGAGGTTTCCATACCAAATCCAAGGGGAAAAATCCTGCTTTTAATGAACCAGGTCGTCGGCGCCATCTGACAGTAAAATCGATTTTTTTCGATCAAAACTTAACTATTTTCCAGTTTTGACCTGATATTCACGATCAGCATCAAATCCTGCATCGAATAAAGTATCTTTAGAAAAATTCTGAATAAAAATGTTTTTCAATGTTCCAAAGGTGGGATAGGGGTTTTAAATTTTCCGAAAAATTGAAAATGATTTGTCAAAGGTGCCATATACCTCATTCGACGCAGGATGTCACGCTTATTCTGAATATGTAACTCTTGTTCAGAAATATCAAGGGAAAATTTTGACCCTTATAAGCCCCCGTCCTTTGATCAGCAGCATTATTCCAACTCCTAGTAGATTCACGGACAGACTCACTTCTAGTGAGATGCATGAACTTCATTACCTTCTGCTGGAAAAGTCGTTCATGAAAAAATAGTATTTCTCTTACAAATTTTGTAAAAATGACCGGAAGAAAATACCTTTCCAGCAGTTAAATGTGTTCCGTTGCATAGTGGTATCAAAAGCGTAATGCTTAACTGTGAATTCTCTTCATAAAAAGTTAGAAAGCGAGGGAAACCTCGGAAAAAAGGAAGGTACTGTACCTGAATACCAGTCGTACTTATCTAGACATATACCTATCATCTAGTACGGTTCTGTTGGAAAAGTGACTCAGCGGAGTAGACGGTAGCTGAAAAAGGATAATAAAAAGCTTTAATGGGTACCACCTTACAACAAAACAAATAAACACAATAATGCTTCAGAGTTTCTCTTGCGCATTAGAAAACTATGATCAAGATATCTTAGCAATATTAGCAGTACTCCAATGAAACAGTAACTGATTTTAGAGCTGTTTGTAATGGCGTAGAAACTTATCACACGTCTTGATGTGTTTAAATAAAACAATGCTTGTTGGAAAAAGCAAGTGTTTACTCCATAGAAATCGAAAAAACGTTTCAAAAAAGTGAATATTTTTGAATGTTCTTTTTGTTTCAAGAGAAACCTTAAAAAGTTCATTGCTGCTTAAAGTACGCTCTTCAAGCTGCGCAAATTACCCTATTTAAATAGCGTAAAAGAATCAATACTCTCATGTGTTTAGATCAGAGTCGAAAAATTTATCAGAAATGCGAGGGGGATACCCTTAATGGAAACATATGGACATTAGAGCGCAGAGAAAGTGAGATCAAAGGATTTGAACTATCTGAAAGATACAGTTCTCATGGTTGATGCCTTGCTACTGATAACATAATCCTATAAAGATCACAAACTTTTGTACGTTAAAGGGCTTACGATCAACAAACGTACAGAAACTTTTTTCCGTATCCAGGAACAAACACGACGCTTCCAAATACTTTGTAAAAACGAAAATCGTGTATAAAACGACACCCTGAAGCATGCTTCAATCTAAATTACAGCGTCCTTTCCTCGACTTTGTTGTCATCCACGTATCTGCCAGAAATAATTTTATTCATTTGACATTTTTTCAGAAAAATAATATGACAACAACAAGATTTCAATGGTTGTGGAGATCAAGTAAAGAACCCTTGTCTCCGGAATCGATAAACGACGAATGGAAACCATATTCTGACGTTGAAACGGAAATAATTGAAACTGCGTTTACGGCGTTTCAGCAGAACAACGAAGAACAAGTGGTCGAATTAGACAAATGTATAATTGATCTGAACCGTCATTTACAAACATCAAAAACAGATAAACAAAATCAAGGCCCAATCAAACGGGTGGCAGTCAGTTTAAACGATCGACGTTGTCTGAGAAAAGAACGATTTTGCAAAATCCTGAAAAATCCTCAATTTGACAAAAACCGAAGACCTAATTCAAAAATCGACGTCGGTCAGTCGATGTAGTTTCTTTTCCTCTTTTAAGCAAAAAAAAATGAACTCTCTACGACAAACCGCTATCAAAAATCTTGGGACGCACTTCAGGTGTAACTCTTATATAGACAAAATACTGTATGAAATATTGGGATAAATACCGGGAAATTAGAGATCGATATATTTTTGAACATCTTCATAAACGAGAACTATATAAGGTTCAACGGTTTCATGTGAAACTGTCGAATACAAACATTTATTATACAGTTGATCATCTTGTGGTGAATAATCTGAACATGGACGACTGCGAATTATGGTTGATTGTGGAGTTTGGCGTAATTCAGTTTCAAATGAATCAAGACCTTAAACAAGGACGGTAAATATAACATTTCATCTATACAAATCAATTTTGGAAAATACGAATATCACAAAAACACGCTCCCCTTTCCACCAAAGTTTGCTTGGGTAGGTCATTTTTCTTCTCGTGATAAAAAAGCGTCACGACATGTATACGTTCTTATGACTGATAATGACAATTCTATGTTCGAGCATCATGAAATGTAATGAACAATTGAAGAGTAATGAACAATTTGATGTGTGTGGTGATTTAGCACTGAGAGATGTGAGTTGTTCTTGCATTGTCTGTGTACAATTGTCTGTATTATCAACTAAATTGGATTTTGATTGTAATTGTTGTTGTTGCCGATAACCATATCAAAGATGTTCTTTTTGTTCATAACTAATTATTTCTGCTGACGTTAGATCGGGTTTGACATCACATGTCGTTTTAAAATATAACCACACAATCGTCAGAAAGATAAATTATTAATATTTTAAGAGAGAAAAACATTGATAGCTTTTACTTGGTGACAATCGTTTTGAAATAACCGGTACAGACAATGTCTTTCGAGTTTTATAATACGCATTTTCAAGTCCTCTGATTAGTAAGGATGTTCTTCCGCAAATAAGTTGCAAAAGTGTGTCATTATCTCTGGGCTACCCGTTATGTAGATTGAGTAAGTTTCCTTTCAACGTCGTTTAACTTTCGTATGACCTTTGGAACTGCCGCCTTTGCTCGACTTCGTGACGGCCTTTTTCGATCCTTTGCTTGGTATTTTTGGAGGCATCTTGATAACTCGAAAACGATAAGTGTGGAAGAGAGATAAGCAGCGTCAGAATGAGATTAACCTACTTAGATTAGAAAAAGTGATGTAACTATATGAATATATTATTGGTATAAGTGATAGTCTATTGTTTCTAGAAATTTTTCATTACGATGAAACTCATTAGTGTGTAAAATCGTCAATCTAGCTTCTTCCTTTTTATACGTGAACAAAACTTACCTAAAAGGAACAGCTAAAGAAAATTTTTAAACTGCATAAAAAAATGGAATGATAGTAGACTAATTAATTTTCAAGATATGAAAAAAATTTAAGAAATTTAGGGTTCTATTAAATTTTGTTTCTGTCTCTACACTGCACAACTAATAATTGAGCACATATGTAAGAATCCGTCTGCAGAATTCTCTATCGATTTGCCATCTATGAATCGGAAACTATATGATAATATATAATAATTCGATTGTTGTAGTAGTGATGATGGTAATGTGCACACTATTTATGTCTTTCTCGCTAGTCCCAAACTATGAGTGCTCATACAAGTGTTTATTCTAAACTTCCATGATGTTGTTGATATCTGTAATCACTGTACAGAGTAATTTAGATCATCGAAAACAGAGTTTAGATACTGTATATAATAATCAAGTTTTTCTTCATAAGCTATTTTTTTCAACTCTGTATAATGATGCTTTTGTTAAGTTATTTATCTGCACACACGAGCCGTGAACTGGTAAAAACCTCTTCTATCGTCATAGTGCAGTATCGTTCGAGAGTAAAGACCAGGCAAAGGGTTGATACAGCTCCTCTCACAGCCGTATCAGTTAGTTATCCGTTTTACGTAACTGCCTTGTCCACTTCGTATATAAGAATCGATACTAGGACTTCTTTTCTAATACAAGAGCCCTACCTTCTTGTGTGTTGATTAAAATTTTTTTTTTTCTTGCCTGTATCAAGCATTCATTGACTGACTCACGCACTACGGGGCCTGTTCATTCTGTATATGACTCAATTGATCTCTTACTATTCAGCATTATATAGTGAATATTAGTTCTCTGAATTAATGCATAAAGAAAAATTACACTCTATGTTCGTTATCATGATACAAACAACTCTTTGTTGAGCTTCTTATGACATATACCTTACACGTCTGTGCTCAAACATATGAGTAAAATGATGTTTGATGTTGTGCAATCGGTTATTCCTTCTGTTTCTCCTGCATTTTTATGTTTTGTTTATTCACTCAAACTTAATAATAACGGTTTCAACAAGTTGTTTTTTACCAAAAGTAAAAATAATTTCTTTCACTTCACTTTTTTTTAAATTCTATTTCGATTACGTTACCGTTACATCAAGCGACAGCAAGTACGCATTCACATGAAGTTTTATCTTATTATCATGAAACTAGGAGCAGTTTTAGAAGAGCTGTTTAAATCGAGTATTTGAGAGCTACTGAATCAGAATACGTCAGATTAAATATCAGTTCGGCGTAGCCTATATATGACCCTAGGTTGGAAGTATTCTGAGCCTTTTGTAATTAATTTTTGATTTTTCACTTGAAGTTAGTTATACACTTTTGTTCGGAATTAAATTCTCTACCGAATGGTATATAAACTGGCTACCAAACTATGTAAAAAGTCTTTTGAAAATGAATAAAGAAAACATACCATTTTTGCTTCTGTTTCACTTGTCACTGAGAGTATCACGTATCATTCAAGTCATTGAGAGTATCATCTCTGTTCCAGTTGTGTAAATAGATGCAGATATTTAGTTTAGAAATGTATTGAGTGAAAAGAAAACATACCATTTTTGCTTCTGTTTCACTTTCATCAGAATAAGAAACAGAGTGAGTTAACGTGTCCGACTAATGTGTCTTTACAACAATATAATATTCATTGGATTAGAGTGAGTAAAAGGTATTTCATGTTTCAATTCCATACAGCACTACGACATTTTTCTCATACAAAATCGGCATTTTCTAACTGCGTAAATCATGACGCTGTTCCTTATGTCACTATTAGATTAATTTAGACAAATTAGGAAAAATACCCAGTTGATTGCGATTAAGATTTCTCCACGTCAAATAAAGCATTAAGAGAAACCGACAAGAGCAAAATAAACACTTGGGGACCATTTTGTTCTTCTCTCTGGGCAGAAATGAATTTGAAAACAAAATAATAGAATAAAAAGTCATTGAGAATATCGTCTCTGTTCGAGTGTGTAAATACATGCAGAAATTCAACTTGGAAAGGTATTGAGTGAAAAGAAAATATACCATTTTTGCTTTTGTTTCACTTCATCCCAATAAGAAACAGAGTGAGTTAAGGGTCTGACTAATGTGCGTTTACAAGAATATAATATTCATTCGATTACAGTGAGTAAAAGATATTTCAGGTTTCAATTCCACACAGCACTAAGACATCTAGGAGATAGATGAATGGTCTGCTGGTTGGCATTCTTTACTAGCTGCATTCTCATACAAAGTCCATGTTTTCTGGCTGCGTTCATCATGACGCTGTTTCTTGTGTTCCTGTTAGATTAAATTAGACAAATTAGGAAAAATACCCAGTTGACTGCGATTAAGATTTCTCCACGTCAAATAAAGCATTAAGAGAAACCGACAAGAGCAAAATAAACACTTGGGGACCATTTTGTTCTTCTCTCTGGGCAGAAATGAATTTGAAAACAAAATAATAGAATAAAAAGTCATTGAGAATATCGTCTCTGTTCGAGTGTGTAAATAGATGCAGAAATTCAACTTGGAAAGGTATTGAGTGAAAAGAAAATATACCATTTTTGCTTTTGTTTCACTTTCATCACAATAAAAAAACAGAGTGCGTTAAGGTGCCGGACTAATGTACGTTTACAACAATAAAATATTCATTGGGTTACAGTGAGTAAAAGGTATTTCATGTTCCAGTTCCATACAGCACTAGGACGTCTAAGAGATAGATGAATAGTCTGCTAGTTGCCGTTGTTCACTAGCTACATTCTCATACAAAGTCGATATTTTCTAACTGCGTTCAACATGACGCTGTTGTTCATGTCACTGAGAGTATCACGTATCATTCAAGTCATTGAGAGTATCATCTCTGTTCCAGTTGTGTAAATAGATGCAGATATTTAGTTTAGAAATGTATTGAGTGAAAAGAAAACATACCATTTTTGCTTCTGTTTCACTTTCATCAGAATAAGAAACAGAGTGAGTTAACGTGTCCGACTAATGTGTCTTTACAACAATATAATATTCATTGGATTAGAGTGAGTAAAAGGTATTTCATGTTTCAATTCCATACAGCACTACGACATTTTTCTCATACAAAATCGGCATTTTCCAACTGCGTATATCATGACGCTGTTCCTTATGTAACTGTTAGATTAAATACGTATAATAAGTTTTGTATTATCAATAAAAGAGAAGGGTAAAAAATAGAAACATTTACTCATGCTCATATCTTATGGCAGGTCGCACACCTTAGTACTGTTCAGTATTCTGAATGGTGCTCAAACGAGAAAAGTGCTCTCAGAGATCCGAATAGTAGGTTTTGTAGAGCTTGAAATTCTCTATCTTTTGGTATGTAAAGGAACTTTTATTTGAAGGGGAAGTACGAAGCAAATGCAGAAATATTTAGTCCAGTTTATTATGGCACACCCATTATTACTTTTCTTTCTTTTGGAAAAGAAAAGGTACCGCTTTCCTTCCTCAACTCTCTCCGCAAATTCTCTTCTCACTCTCCCGTAAATTTTCTGGCTGACGATTTTTTGCATTTACTGGGCTGAAAAGCTTTACTTGAACGGTTCACTGCTCTAATTGAGTTAGCAATTGGAGAGATTTGCTCGGGGGCTTTGCTCCTCCAAATAAGTTTTTCGTCAAGTTCATGCAAAAATCTATCGTTTCGCGCACTACGGGAGCTCCGTAAGCATCCACAAAAACAGTCGTCGTTGGGTGTGGCCTAGGGTGCACGGGCACTGCTTCTCACGAATTCTCAATGAGTCTTCATTAACATGGATATTAGATGGATAAGATCTTCTTACCATTACTCATTGTCAATACAGTAAAACCTCTATTAGTGAACGCCTCTCTATTCTGAATGTGAACACTTCTTTACAGTTCCTCTAGCTATTATAACCTCTCTAATGTGAACACACGTGCAATGATTTTTTTTATCTCTATCTACTACTGTCTATCACCTTTCTCTTACGTGTCACGACTGAGCATACTCTCTCACGGATAAAAAAGTACATTTTTCTATTCGCTCGTTCTCCCCTATATTTTATTATTATATTTTCATTTGCATATCCATGGATACAGCATAAGTTAAACTACATATACCGAAAGTAAAAACCTTCTGAAACTCAATGATGGCAGTAGTGGCTTCGTGCATGATACAGGAAATCAGGAGTTGACCTACCGACCCAACACAAGATTTTGTGGAACATCAGCGAAACCCTAGAGTTTCATCGAAGTCCAGAGAAAGTTCCCCACTAAAACCATGAAACTATTTACATGTCACTTCACCCGAACTAGTTCGGAATAAAAGTACGAAACTTTTATAGCTGAGTCATGAACCTGTTTTTGTAAAGTGGAGTTTCGCTGCTAGCATACGAAACCTATTAGCACTTAAACCACATGCAAATGATTTTGTTTTACAATTACGAAACTCTCATATGCCATACGAAACTTTTAGATGACTTACGGTACTATCGAGTGTTTTGTCTCAAACATACGAAACCTTTAAGAGAGTTTTGTGCAAGACTTGTGAAAGTTTGTCAATCAGAGGAACCTAAAAAGGTTCCTTTGAGAAATTTCGAAAGAATTTTCATTCCACCGAACCTAAAATCGTTCTGTATCATAGCGCAGAACTTTTCAAGTTCGGGGACAAACCGATTTTTTAAGAGTATATATGTGCAGCCTTAGCAGAACCGATCGAAATGTTTATGCTTCAGATCATAAATTTATATATTGTTCTTTGAAAAAGTTATACAAGCTCGAAATACTGCATCTGTCTTCTGGTGAGCATATAAGTCTTATCAACGTCGATGATAATGCAATGGAATCAACAAAGAATAAAATTGTAGAAATTTTACAATTAAACGATGATGACAATCAGGATTCAATTGTTCCTGATGTATTGAATAATGGTCGACAAGCGTTAGTCAAATATGAACAGGATATTATACCAGAAATCTACACAGATGTAATGAAGAATGATGACAATAAACTGATGACATCATTAAAAAAGTTTTTCCAACAACAATGGGAAACACAATATGGCTCGTCTCATCAATGGTTTATTTCATTTCTTAAAGGATATGAAGTTGGAGAAAATGTTGATGTATTTCAGCGTGTTTTAAACCGTACAGCTGAATATGGAAATAGATTTATAAAACATTGTCCACTTTTATCGATTGTTCTACAGCTTGTATTTGAAAGTATTGGTGATGAAGAATTACTTGAAGCGAATGTTTTTGATGATCGCTATTTAAAGGAATCTAATGTACACAATATAAAGTGCTTAGAAGAGAGAAATGTCTGCGATGAACTATGGTTTTCAATTACAAATGATGGCTTGACCTCAATCACAAAGTATCCTGAATATATCATCGAAGATGTAATGAACCAACAGTTAGACAAAACTCAGTCAACCTTATTTCATGCATTGCGCGTATATTATAGACCGCAACTGTTCTCACTGTTGGAAATCCACAAAATTCCTAACAGAGGAAATCTGTATGACTTACTACTGGAAAATGTTGCTGAACACGGTTGGTTAATGGGCTTAGAAACAATTCAGAGACAAATTACGCCAAGATCTTACAGTAATTTATCAACAAGCATCAATTCTCTTCTGGAACAACGGAAGGCACAAAAACAGAAAGTGCAACAGCAATCAATACGGAAAAATGAAGACGAAGTGCACCTAGAGACAAACAATGTAACATCAAACAACATACAGTCGGAATCAAGTAATGCAAACTTGACAACAGCATCTAGCAAAGAGTCAGGTAGTTAAGATTTTTCAACATTTTTCCTTTTTATTCAATTTTCCTACCAAAATTATTAGCTTCATGATTTATGCAATGACTTCAGGGTTAGAGTGAGGATGGCGGTAACTATTTGGTTATTTTCTAAGGTCAGATGTGTTCACACTCACTTACCTCTGCACCCGTACCCTCAATAAAATCGATAGAATCAATCGTATTTTTTGACGATGATTCGATCCAAGTTGTGATTGACAATTGATTATTTAATTAAAATCACTGCCATGGTCTGCGATGGTTCTAAACCATATCTGTCACGGTGTATGAAGAGGGTTGCAAGCTTCTACCCTATATAATTGAACACACCGTTCAGATCGTGTTCGTCAAAATCTTCTCTAATGAAACAGACGTGAGCAGAAATTTCTTGAAAAAATGTTCGATATAAAATGTATTGAAATGGTTTGTTTCTAGGACTATAATATGTGTTGTATGAGAGAAATATACATCTTTCGAAAATTTTTTAGGGTAGAGACCAAGCCCTCTGCCACTGTCCGCATGTTTCTAAGCTCACCCAAAGTCGATTGCTGCATAAACTGGAACACAAGCAAGGATCTGCGATTTTCGAAAAACACAAGAAATAAAGTCCTGTAAAAGATAGAAGTGTACGGCTCCGATTCGGCTAGGCGACAAGAGAAAGCTTACGCACACACTAGGTTTACTCCCGAATGTTGAAAATTGATAGCCTACACACAAGCCATAGCCGATTAATGTTTCAATCATCCGCTCATGTTGTTATAGATAAAATGTTGTTAGGAAATGTGCCATTCTCTATTCTTGATTGTGTTGCGTGTCGTTTAATACTGTAAGTCATCTTAAATTGCTTAATTTGTCTTGATTTAGAACTCTCAACACAACTAAGTCAAACAAAAATAAATCAATCGGAAACAAGCGTTCTAACACAAAGTCCAACTTCGATAGGACAAACGCAGGCAAGCACTATATCTATAACAGAAACATCAGATTATGCAACCCAAAGCACAAATAAGGATGAAAGTACAGTAAAAAGATCAGAAAAGGCCTCTGAAGTGATGCTCGATGAAAAGGAAAAGAAAAACATGTATCTTGTCAATCTAAGTGAAGATTTGGCTACTATGCCCTCTTGTGCTGAAAAAACCGCAATGGAACTTTTGCTGCATTATGAGAAAAAGTTGTTTGGCTATACACTGGCTACATACGAAGAAAAAAATGTGGATTCATTATTACAGAAGCTACAAGATCAAGTGAAGAACGAAGAATTACTTTCAGTACAAATCATGACTAATCTTCAGGACTTAAACAGGTCTGTACGTAGTGATGCTTCTTCGTCGGTAGTGAGTGTTTTGGGAAAGCTATTAAAAAGCATTAGACCGTTAAATATCCATGAGATAAAGAGACTACTCGATCTACGGACAAAACAGCTAAATTAATAGTTGATAAAGATATTATCCTGTTGTTAGGTTCTACCGGCGCGGGTAAATCTACTACCATTCACTTTTTGGCTGGCTCCAAGATGAAACAGGATAAAGTAGAGATTTCTCCTGGGCAGTTTCTAGACCATATTGCAGTTGAGCCTGCCAACAATCGTGACTTGATTAGAGTGACGACCAGTCCATCAAGCGTTTCAGAAACTCGGTATATCTGGCCAGTGACGATATCATTGAAGGATATTCTTGGCTCTCATATGACCGGCGACATCATTTTGTGTGATGCGCCAGGTTTTGCTGATACGTCAGGTCCCGAAGTGGATATTGCAAATGGTTTGGGAGTCATCAAAGCTCTCAGTGGTTGTAAAAGTGTCAAAATACTAGCTTTATCAAGTTATGTAAATGTCGGAGATAGGGGACAAGGAATTCAGATACTGGCACATATTTTAAGCAAGATGATAAAGGACATTGAAGATAATCTTGGTAGTATCTTTTATGCATTTACAAAGTATCCTCCAGAAAAAGATGACATTCATGCCCGCTTGCTAGACATAAAGCAAACGAAAGTAGCTGAAGATTCTTTTTTATCTAACGATACTAGCTTTGTGATAGTACTCGACGATATGATAGAGAAAACTAAGCAAGGTGGTTTCAAAATTGACCCTGTTAATGGCTCTCCGAGAGAGTTAATCCAAAAAATTAATCGTCTAAATTTTATTAAATATCCAGGAGAGATTTTTCGATTTTCAATGAGCGAAGATTCAAGTGCAGCCATTAACAATTATGTTAAACAGTGTCAGTTAAGTGTCATATGTGCAGTGAAGTACAAAGACATTGACCTTGTCGTTTATTATTTGAATAATTTAAAGGCTTTAAAAAGCTGGATAGAGGAAAGCTTCATCCACGATGCTTATGAAAAATCTACACGCTGTATAAGCGAGAATATTGAGGAGTATTGTAATGAAGTGATAAGAAAATTCAATCGCGCATTGGAAAGTCAGGATGGATTAAGAGAAGAAGATATTCGTGAATACAAAAAGTCTGTTGAATATATTGAGAGCATCCAAAAACCACTAGATGAGCATTTAAAATCAGGTGTGGCAAAACCTGAATCACTTATACATAATATCGATCACGAACTTCAACAAAGACGTCTTGTTCTGGAAGAAACTGATTTGCAAAGTCATCTAGTAGGAGTATATTTAGGTAATCTTTATATGCTTAAGGATTCGTTTCGAGAATTTGAGGCGACTTACAGTAAAAGTTGCAAGGACTTTGAAGATCGTTTTGATAAGCTTGTAAAATCCTCCAATGAACCTATCGCAAATAATGAATTTGATAAGGTTGCTGAAATCATTCTTATAATATTCAAATCTTCATGTGTTCTAAAGCGCTATTTGCGTGAACAAGTGGAAGAAAAATACCAGGACGTCATCAAATCGCTCTTAAAGTACTTGAGTGGCTTTGTGGAAAAAGCAGAGCCTCTATTAGCGAAGATTCGGTTGAACGATGATGATGTGAAAGATTTGAAGAGTTATCTACTCATCTTGAAGTCGGCTAAAGAAACTCCGATGCTTCAGGAATGTCTTTCGACCTACACGAAAACGCTGAAAATAGGACTTGACACAGTGAATAAAAGTTTCAAAAGTTTGAATGAAATTTATAATGAATTCATCGACAAAATTGTCAGCTATTTCGGTGAAATTAATGTTAGAATTAAAGAGCTTTTTGAGAAAAGCGGGGATTACGCTCTAGAATCAATCGAAAAGTTAGTCAGTGACATGGGCAGTATTCGTACAATACCAGAAATTGAAGCAAAGACTTCTGGATCATATTATCGTACTGTTGAAAATGTTCGTGGATATATGCAACAGTTGCAAAGAGATGCTGAGCAGTTGATTGTTGACATAGAGAAAAAAACAGGTAGCATCAATTATGGACACCTCGCAAGATCGTTATCACGCTTAAGAAACGCAGAATGGATCAACCGTGCGAGTCCAGGAGCATATGATGCATTGATGCATCGTATTAAAGAAGAATTGATAGAGAATGCTCGGAACTTGGAAGAGCAATTGAAGAGGATAGATTTTCATTTAAAACATCCAGATAATGTGGGCGTTGCGCAGGCCATCGTTGAGAAAATTGAATCTATGAGCATTTTGGAACGCAGCGTTCCAGAACTTGAGGATTACAGAGTTAGGATACAAAAAAAGTTTCGTGAGACGACGCAGGCAGCGTTCGATAGTATCCAAAAGACTTTCAATTTGCAAGATATAGATGTTTATAACTTAAAACAGCAGCTGAAGGAACTTGAAAAAATTAAAAATGAATACGAGAAATTGCGTCCAGCTCAAAAATATTTACTCGAACAGCAGTATTTGAATGTAGATCAATTAAATGATGAGATCGAGAACCTAACCAAAAAACTTAAAGAAGAGACTGATAAAGAAGAGGCTCTGAAACTTGAGAAGGAAGAAAAGCTAAATAAGTTACAGGATATTGTTGGTCGATGCGTAAATTTGCGTGGACAAGGCTCAGATCAAAGTACTATGAGAGTGTCAGATGCCAACGCAGCAAAGACTTCGCAGAGAGACAAGCTGGAGTCAGATAATTATTTAAAAGAGCATGGCTTTTCAAAACTAGATGATGTATATGAAGCCATAGTAAACATTTCAAAAGATTATGATAAGAAATTGCAACTAATTCAAGAGAGTTGTAAAGGATTCATTGATACATTAAATCGCCTGGAAGAAATCAGAAAAAAACATAAATCATTGCTATTAGTAAGAAGTGATTCTGTTTCTTCGGAAGGGATGCAATATCTTCGAGAAAAAAAGCAAAACAGTATTGAATCAATCGATGTAGAAATTCAAGAGAAGAAGGTAAAAATCTCTGAACGTGAGAAAAATAAGCAAAAGTATGACTTCAGTGGTAGATTCGACGGTTCTGTGGCAAATGCTGCGTTATTTTACATAGTCCAATGCGAAAAGGTGGGAGATTCTCGAATTAAAGAAATTGCTACTGAAACTAATGAGATTATGCATAAATATTTAGGTGAATACGGCTATTTTTTAAAACAAGAGATGGCTAGGCTCTATCAGAATGGAAAAAATAGTGATGTTGAAGGAGGCCCTTTGCAGTATTGCCATGAATTATGCATACGTTTGGAGGAATTATCTTCACTTGAAAATTTTCCTGAGGTTTTCAAATGCGTGAAGGAAGCGGAACAGTTAGCGCATTGGAGGCAAGAAATCACGGCTTGCTATACTACTTTCAGTGATCTGATGGAGGAATACAAAAAGCGTGGTGACGGAGAATTGTTAGGGAAGCAATTAAGTGTAATCCAAGGGTTCATCTACTTGGATCGATTTTTAGGAAATACTCGATTTTACGACTTATATAGAAAGTCTCAATCATGCGTGATTGACGATCTAAATGTTGCTTACAGGGAATTAGTACAACATATATGTAACTCCGACTATGTAAGAGCAGGCATGATACTATCTAATATTGATGACAGGCCTTTAAATGCGAAAGCTAAAAAGCAGATTGAACTCGAATTACAAAGTTCACTAGTAAAATTGATGAGGGATATAAAATGTTCGGCACAATGGTTATACGGAAAAATTGAAAGAGGGGAAGAAAATAAGAAACAAATTGAAGAAATCGTAGCAAATCTTGAAAAAACTCAAAATGCATTGACTCAGTTCAATCTGATGGAACTTTTGGATGGAAAAACCAGGGGTGACCTGGAAAAATTTCAAGCAGAAGTCGACCAAATTTTATCTGATATTATTTTGCAAGGACTTAGTTCTATCAAAACGTATATGAATACTGATCACTTTGCCCAGGCTGAAGAAGGGATCGAGAAAATAACAAACGTTGTCCAACACCATCTTAAAAGCATCGTTACCTCACAGGAGGTTATCAAAAAAACTCAAGAATT